ACCCTTTGGCCCCCCTTCCCTCCCCCACAACGCAGCCGTTTCTCGGTCCTCACTCATGGTCTCGTCAGCAAAGTTCCTGGAAACCCCGAGAAGAGAGGAAGAAACGACGGCTGAGAGCGCCGAGACGTGAGGCCGAGGTCACGTGCACTGATCCGCCAGAGACGGCGGACATCCTGTTTCTTCTTGGAAAAATTAACCATGGTCCAAAGCACAATTACCATGTTTCATGTATGCCTGAATGCAGGAACAAAAGCAACTCATCGCTGACATCACTGATGGACAATCCGGAACAGCGGATACCAGCGAAATGAGGAAGCATATATTGGAATACATGAGTTAAAAAAAAAATAACAAAAAAAAACATAAAAATCTTTTGAATCGTGATTTTGGGTGTACATATAATACATGTGTGTGCGCTATTCTCGAGAAATTACGGTAATATCACAATTTGAAAGACCCAAAACCTAGTCAAACTCGGAGTGTGAGCAACACGTTCATGAAAATGTCCAAATAAACATTCTCATAATGGGTGTCATCTGTGCACCTCACTAGACCTCAGTTGAGCCCGCCTCAAGGATTACCACTCCATGTGTTTTGCTTTGGTCTTTGCTTGTCACTCGTGATCAGAGTGAGTGTTACATGTTCATTTAAGTGTGTAAGAATGATTTAAGAGGGGTTTTTTTTTTTTTTTTAATGCTGCTTATCCTGAGCAGGGTACAGGCGAGCTGGAGCCAATCCCAGCTGACTTTGGACGAGAGGCGCGTCACACTCTTGAGTGATTGCCAGTCAGTCACAGGGCACGTACAGACAAACTGCCATTCACAATCACAGACAGTCACAGTGCGAGTATTCAAGTGGTTCTTGAAATTTTCTACACTAAGAACCAAGTTTTCATCAAACACGGGACAGGTTTTATTCCTAATACAGTTGAACCTCATTTCAACGTATCCCGTTCACGTTTTCGCCGCTATAACGTCAACGAAATAATGATTCAAGTGGAATGTTTTGCACGTAAAATTTCAATGAATGCACCCAAATAAAATTTTTATAAACAATCAGTTCTTAAAGAGAAATGCAAATGTATTGGAGATAAAAGTTGAAAATAACTGAACTACACTTAGGCAGTGATACTTTCACATGCTCGCGCGCCACTGGAGGTATGTGTGCAACACTTTGAGGAACACTCGAGCATTCAATGAACGCACCAGAATATACACAAATTGCATCCTCTGATTTGATTTTGCAGGTTTATGGGGCATACGTGTACATTACATGGGTACAGTAAATCCCAACAATAGTTGAGCTGCAAGCACCGACCCCAGCTGACTTTGAGGAGAGGTTGCATACACCTTGGACTGCTCGCCGGCCAACAGCAGGGCACCGTATACAAACAACTCACACTCACCTTCACACCTAAGGGCAATTTAGAGTCTTGAATTCACCTAACATGCTAAGAAGCCGGAATACCTGGAGAAAACCATGCAAGTCAGTCTAACCCACAACTTGTAAACGGTGAAGCAAACGCGCTAACCACTAGTGTGCCATGTTGCTCTGCATCTGTTTAATTTATTGGACTGAATAGGGGGAAAAAAAGGGAGAACATGCAAACACAGGAAAGCCGCTGCCGAGATTCGAACCCCAAACCACAGGATTGTAATGCACTGGCAATAACAAAGGCATTGCAAATAAATTCTGACAATAGGGTTTGAAATTACATTCAGGAACTTTTACAATTTCTGATACACTAAGACATTAGGTTCTCGTTCATGTTTAATATGTCACGACATAACAGACTTATCTCAATGTTTGTACATAGAGAAAGATGTGCAGGTGAGATGGGCTAGCTGAGTGCCATTCTGCGTCATTGCCATGGTGACCATTGCCAGACTTACGTCAATTTTTCAATGACAGCGTCACAACAACGTGGACTTTTCGCCAACTACTTTAAAACACATAAACACACTTGTGCCAAGTTTATAACACACGGGGCGCTTCACGAGCAATGCCAGAAAATTGCAGTTCCCTTATAAATGTCACTTCGGTGTGTTTTCAAGGTGAAAACGAAAAATAACTGCGGTGTTTAGGACGTGAACGCATCCCAGGGGAGTCGTCGTTTGTGGACAGTGTGCCATGTGGCGAAAAGAGTGCAAGTTGTTCAAGTATAAGAATGTAAATACTTTGCATTAGTGTACTCACGTTCTCCGTTATCTCGGACGGGCACCCACCGCTGCACGACGACAACACAACAGTTTGGACTTCGCATAACGGAAATGTGTCGAAAAGGCATCAAAAAGTTGGTCACTAAAGTGGCGTCGGCGAGAAGAAAAAAATGAGCGAGAGTCGACTTCAACGGCAAGAAGTCCACAAAATGGTCTCTCGGGCTTCCATTATGACTTGACGCGACAATGTCTCCGACTTAAAAGAAAAGAGCAAAAAAAAAAAAACTTTAAGGCACGAACTTGACGCGGAAAAAAGTGGGGACCCTCGTTTCCGCTCAGTAGGGATGGAGGGTGGGGGGTAAAAATATACACCGCCGCGTCAAGTTTGAGACATTTCACAACAGCTTTTCCGGCTTCCGCTTCAGCAAAAATAAAACTGAAACGTGCCAGTTAAAGAAGACCTGTTTTTTTTCCACAATTTAACCCTGGGGCCCGTTTCAAAATGTACTACTCTTTGGACACCGTGGAAAATAAATTAACACCTCAAAATGTGTGTACAACACTTTTTTTTCCATGAACACAACTTATTTTACTTCTTTAAAAATGATGTTAATTTACATATTTTAATGTGTTGGACTTTCATACAGTATTTGGCTTTACACAATATTTGTGAGGGATTGGGAGGGGCCCAGCCCACATAGAGCCAAAATTCTGATATAAGTGACGCCCATTGAAATGCATTGGGAAAAATATAATAACTATTAAACCTTGAAAAAAATTCCCCAGAACGCTGATAAACATTCAATCCATGGAAAATGGGGGAAAGTGTTTCACGCCTCTTTCCCAAAGTCAGCTGGAATTGACTCAAGCACACCTGCAATCCTAATGATGACAAGCACTACAGAAAATGGATGGATGAATGAATACAAAGTGCTAAACATGCCTTTACACTTAGTTAGTATGTAGGAGCCTGACTTTTGCTTTGACTTGGTGATATGCACACATTCTCTGTCGACATGAGCCAGGCTAACTCCCACAGCCCGGATATTTTATTTGTTTGCTTCAACAGATGCAAATTCCTCCCACAAATGTGCTTTTCATCTCATTTCCGACACACAGGGTGAACAGGCATGACCTGAGGCTGCAGGGTCTCATGACAAACCAAATGCTTGCTTCCTGCGCGGTGCAGTCAAACATGCTATTGTCTCCAACTATTATGTCTCTATTATGTCTATTATGAAAAGAAAGGAATTGTAATCGAATTCGACAGGGCTAAAAAGGCTCATTTGGAGGGCATGAGCGCAACTTCCATTTCATTCAGCGTCTGTGTTGTATTTGAGGAAAAGCCAGGGCGAGTTAGCTTGCGTGGATTTTAAAGTGTTTTTACTTGAGACCTCATTAAGACTTCATGTTCATCCATCCATTTTCTTTTGCACTTTAGAGCAGCATTCGAGTCAAAGTTGAGCTGGAGCAGACTGGTCCACCGTGTTGTCTTGGACATTCATTTGATTGATGACAGCCTGTCTGGCTCGGACAATCCAAGACCTGCCATTTTACCTTATTTAATGGGAGTGACTATGTATTTGGAAGCAAGTTCTCGTTGACTCACCAATTTTCAGAGTAAAATGCTGGAAGCCATTTCATTGATACCGAATCAGGCACACACAATTCTTCCATCGTCTTTTTCCTTTGTTCATGGTTTGACAACACATTCAGTTGATTGAAATTTCTGTCTTCAGTTACACTTTTATTGTGATGCTGTTAAAAAGGAAGTACGTTCCATTTGTCTCTATCTTCATATCGTTAACATCTCTGACAACTCTTTCCATGGACGACCCAGGCAGCTTTCAGAGCATTGGTATTTATAGTACATACCATTAATAACACAAACATGATTGACGGCCACTCCACACACATCTCGTAGGTTATTATTTCTTCATTTCTTTACCTCACAGGATTAATCAAGTACAAAAGTAACAAACAATATTTAAGTACTGTACACAGCATTCCATCATAAAGCGAATACCTTTCCCACAATGGCCAAACTGATAAACAGCGCCATCTGGCGAATGAATGAAAGGCGACACAGTACTGTACTCTGCTCTGTGCCGAATCGTGTCTGCCTTGCCTGCTCGCAGACAGGCCAGCCCCTTTGCGCTGCCGCCGCATGATTGTTTTGCACTTTTCCCCATTTTTTTTCATCGTTTTATTTGGGTTCACACAAGTGTTTGATTTTATTATAGTTATCTTTATTACGGAAAAGATGTCCCCAGACAGGCTTTGCTACAGCTGTTACAGCACTCTACATACAGTACAGTATAAGCATGTAATACACTATGGTAAAGTTCAACCTAGTTCAGTCTATTCAGACTTGAAAATGTATCGTTTACAAGTGTTTTATTTTTTCCCTTCCTCTTAAAGTAAAGGTGTCCCCAGTTATTACATTTACAGCACTTTATAGGCTATTTAATTTAAGTATTGTCCTCCCTCAGTAAAAGTGTCCCCAGGCTTTGTTTAATTACAGTAGGCCAGGTCCAAATTCTCAAGTTCAGGCTATTAAGGTTTCGTAATTGTTAAGTGTTAAAGTACAAACCTTTGTATAATTTACAACACTTACACCACGGCCCAGATGCTAATATGACATGTCAAATAACGTCAATTAAATCAAACATTTTGTTTTTTTCATATAAAAAACACGCGATTCTGATAATTTTCAACTTTTTGGGGAGCCAAACCCTCAAATTTCTTTCGGCCGCGTGGTTTTGCCGCAACGCCGTGAGGGTTATCCCTTTCCAGATCTAAAAGGTGGCAAACCTAAAACTTGGTACTGTAACTAGCAAAGTTGGAAAGACTGCCAACAGGTGAGGGCGCTGCAAAAATGCTGAGACGGAGGGTCGTAAAGTGGTAGAAATTGTCGTAAAGTATGGTTTTACCAGTGTTATAACTACGAGTAAAATAGAGAAATATAATTTGTGAGCCTTTTTAATTTAAGAGGAAAATTAGAATGATCCAAAGTTCCAAATGGCCTGCATAAGAATTCAAGACTTTGACAAGACTGACCAGTCTAGAAAGTTTATTGGGTTGCTTACAGTATGTGATTAAACACATTTCAAGATACGACAATCATCACAGAATATTTGATATTAGTTTGAAATGATAAAACGACTCAAATATAGAAAAGCCTTTCATAAACAACACAATCCATTTATCACATTTGATTACCGTACATCATCTCACATAAATTTTCATTTATGTAATCAAAGTGACACACCAAACTATCGTTAGCAGGAATGATAATTGTACTTTTATGTCAAATATTTGAATATACCACAGTCATTAAAGTATACATGGTTAAAATTGATTATTCAAAACAACACCTGTATCATGTGCAACATTTTTTGAAAGTCACAATATGTAATAGAAAAGATCAATGTTATTTGAGTTGAAATTTGGCACTTTTGATTATGCTACAATTATTATTTATATGGTTAAAAAATAGGCACGGTCAAAACAAAAGACATGCCACCATAGCATGAAGTTAACATTAATGCAAAGATGATTTTTTTTTTTTTTTTTGAGGGTGGGGGGCAGGGGGATACTCCCTCTCGTACCATGTGTGTAACATTCATGATAATGCTGTGCAATGAGGCGGACTGAAGCCACCCAGCCACTGTCGGAACATGTCATTGAAAGAAAGGCAAACAAAGAAACAAAGTGTGGTCCTCTGATAACGCTTGACTGAAACAAAAATAGTTGTTAAAAACAAACATGTGACAAAGCAAAGTCGAGGCCTTCTAAATGAATCACCGTACGATGATTCCGTTTTGCCGAACACTGGCTGGAAAAAAAAAAAAAAAAAAAACTTCCAACATGGAAGAGGAAACGTGAGGTCAGATATTCTCTGATAAGACCTGTGAGGGAACAAGACAATTGTGCAGTGAAAGAGAATGTGAGTTGTGGGGTACACCCTGAACCGGTCGACAGCCAATTGCAAGGCATGTATACACAAACAATCACTCTCTCACGGTCTTCAATGAACCAAAAAAGCATGTTTTTGAAATTTCAGAAGACGCCACAGAGAAGATGCAACCAGACAGCCTGAGTCGGGATTCAAACACAGAACCTGAAAACTGTGAGGCAGGCCAGCTAGCCACTAGGCTGCCAAGCTCAGGAATGAGCACTACTGTAGAAGGTGTGCATGAAAAGCTTCTGATGCATACGAAAGTCTACCCGAACAACTCACCCGCCACCATACATCAAAACTAGAGTGCATAGACCATGAATAGAAACAATAATGTATCGAGTACCGTATTTTCCGCACTAAAAGGCGCACCTAAAAGCCTTCCATTTTCTTAAAAGCTCACAGCGCGCCTTAAAATCTGATGCGCCTTTGGTATGGTCATTACGGTAATATGTCAACCGCAAAATGGTTCCTTGCTAGAGACATGCTTACAACGCAGCGTTCAAACTTAAGGCGATTGGTTTCGCAGTTGAACACGGAAATAGAGCAGCGGCAAGAGAGGTCAATGTTAACGAGTCAATGTTTCGACTTGCTGTTGGTTAAGTGAACCGTGTCGCTGCCTTATTCAATAAGTTTTACTGACATCTGTTCGTCGCTATATAAATCAGGGTGTAGTGTAGTGTAGTGTTCTGTTGGCATTTCCTTGAGCGTAGCTCCATCTAGTGGATGCATTGTAGATTGCGTCTTACAATGCGGTGCGTCCAATATATGAAAAAAATTACAAAATAGGCCATTAATTGAAGGTGCGCCTCAGAATCCAGTGCACCTTTTAGTGTGGAAAATACGGTAATGGAAATGTATGAATGGAAAGAGTGGGTCAAGGCCAAACTAAATGGAATGCAATGATTAGTGTAGTTGTGGACTTCCATGTTTCACTTAGGTTCCTCCAGCAGCTTGTCGTCATTTGAGTCACTTGTTTAAAAAAAAAAAAAATATATAAAATCACATTTGAGCAAAAAGAAAGTGTCATTACAACCTAAGACCTTAGCTACTCTGTTGCCAATATTCCATTGACAACTGTCATCAAGCAAAAGTGAAGAAAATGTAATATTTCTATGATTTTTTTTGCTTGCATTATCCCCGATTGTACAACAAGGCAGTTGCTTTTTCCTGTACCCGACAGAATGGACAATGACAAATATCCTCGTCAAAGAGTCAAAACAAAGCATTTGTTGTGAAGCAATGATGTATTCGCCATTGATACTATAGTGGTTCACATAGCTGACCGAATTTGATTGGTCAATTTCTACTCATAATGACGCTGTCGCCATTTCACACAGCTACTTTAAAAAAAAAAAAATAAAATAAAAAAAAACTTCATTGGACCGCACAAAAGGATGGGAATGAGTGTCAGGTGTTAAACTTCAACACAGTGGTCCCAGTATTGCAAACTTCATTACAGGCAGCGTCTCTATACAACAGCACCACAACCAATTGAGGAAAATAACGCTTTTTACAGCCCCGTGTATAAAAGTGGCTGTGACCTACAAAAGCAGAAATTTGCCCTGTCGCCTCCACTGTGTCTGTGCTGTTTCTATAGAACAGTGACACAAAAAAGGTGGAAAAATGCTTTTCCGGTTGGTGTAAAACTGGCTACTACTGTCAAATGTGGGTCGACTTTCTATCTCCGTTCTGTCGTGGCGCCATTTGTACCAAACGTTGATTTTGGAAAAGGCAAAAATGCCTTCTGCTACATCCAAAGGTGTGGAAAAAGCTAGATTGTCTTTGTCTCCTTTTCCAGAACATGAAAAGTCAGAAAAATGCACAGTTGGTGTGAAACTGGCTACCACCTCCAAAAGGTGAAAATTGCTCGGTTGACTTCAAATCATTTTGTGTCTGTGCCTTAGGGGTCAACTTCATCCCTCCATTTTTGGCAAAATGGGGGAAAAAACAACTTTTACGAACAGTCTATGAAAAGTGGCTTGTGATGATCATTTCAAACATTCCAGGGTGTAGTCTGCTTTTAGCAGCAAGTCCTTGGGGATGCTCTCCAGTGTCCGCCTTGACCCTGGAAAACGGAACCACAACGGAATGAATTATTTTTGGAGAACTTGACCCCGTCTCCGTGGGTTCACTGACTCTGCAGCCACTGTGCCCTCAGTTCCTCCACCTCCAGTCCGTACCAGTCGTGGAGCTTGGAAAAGCATCCGGTGCCGGGGGAGAAGGGGCTCTCCAGAGACGCTCCTCTTCTTCTGGGAGGCACCGGGGGAGCCTTGGCCCCATTAGCCCCGCCCTCCCAGGCCACACAGGAGGACACCCCATCAGAGGAACCATTAGCCAAGCCGGGGCGCGGTTTGCTCCAGGCGACGCCGTTCTCCTTGGGACCTGCGGACAAGAGCTGGACCTCGTCCTGATGGTTCTTTTGTCCGGAGCTGGAGGACGACGTCGATAAGGACGAGGACGACGAGGACGATCTGGATTTGGACATTCGCTTGGATGCCCTGGGCCTGCCCTGCGGGCCTCCGCCAGTCGCCTCTTGGATCTCCTCCAGCTGCCTCTCCAGCTCCTTGACCACCAGCCTCATGTAGTCGAAACTGGCCCGCGACAATGCTTTGACCCACGACTCCATGGCTGCCTGGCTGTCGGCCGCCATCTTGTACACGCGAGCCCGGGCGCAGTCGAACTTGACGGCAAAGGCGAACTCCTCGGCTGACTCGCAGAGCTCCACGGTGCAGCCCTCCAGGATGATGACGCCGATGGGCTCGCGGCTGTCACGCTCCTCAAAGTAGAAGAGCATGTTGCCCTTGAGGACGAACCAGCGGCGGTGATACGCCGTGTTGCGCTCGCCCTTCTTGAACAGGAAGCCCGTCTTGTCGGGCGGCGAGTCGCACGTGGCGTAGTGGGCCACGCTGCGTTCGTTCAATTTCATCGTCACTCCTCTTTCTCTCGCTCGCCGGATGATTATTTCATCTGCAGGAGATGCATGGAAGGGTAAACTCACTGCAAGGGCGACATTATAGGTAAGGTTTCCCTCAAAGAGTCGCTCATCGTGTGAAAATCAGACGAATGTATCGAAGGCTGCAGCTGTCAAATATTTCTAAAATGCCCCCCGACTGTGAAATTTGATTCGGAGTCAGACGTTTGAGTCCGATGGAGGTGTTTATTTGGATGAATTTTCATTCCGTGAGGTCATTTGGTTTCATTATAAACAGTATCCATGGCTTCACGTAAATCCAGCTCGAGAAAAAGATGACAGTTGGCTGGTGGTCACCTTTGGATATATTCCGTCTTTTACAGACCCTTTCCTCAAACTTATTCCTACAAAGATGGTAACGCGACTGCAGTAACATTTGCCGGTATGGACAAATTATCCTACTAATAAGCTGACATTACAGACACAATTACCCTTCCTTTTATTTGTTATTCCATTTTTTTATGCAACATTTAATATAAGTACTGTCGTTCAATTTACTTTATATCTAGAAGGTACTTGGTGGTTAAAAAAAATGAAAAAACAAATTCAATTTTGATACACATTTTCTGCCAAATTGAAAACGATAAATCCATTTAACAAATAAATATGACACTTCATTTGCTTTTGTGGGCCACAAAAAAAAAATAAAATGATATCGCGGGTCAGCTGCGGACACCGAGCCATGAATTTGTCACATGATTTAGGGGATTCAAATCCCTTTCACTACAAGATAAACTTTGCTTTTCAGTCACATGTGCGACCATAAACTGGGTCACAACCTTGAGTAAACAACTCCAGTCACAGTGGACACATCCACTTTAATCATGCATTTAGATCAATGATTGTCAAACAGTCACGGTTAATTTTAGCTTGGTGGTCTGCTCAATAAATCGCAATCAAAATCATTTTTTTAAGTCGGTAAATCAAAAGGCAAATAACAACAATAATGCAAACAAATATGAATATCTAAACTTGAGAATCGAACCCAAAGCTTTAACTGTCAGGCACACGTGCAAATCACTAGCACACCCTGTAGGCTGTAAATATGTCATTTTCTGCAAGGAAAGGAATTTAAAAAATATTAAAAATCATAAAAGTAGATCCTGTTGTCTTCAGTTAAGTAAGATATAAGATTATAAGCGAAAGTAACGTTTGACTCTCCAAACAAAGCGACTTACGTGTACGTGGTCTCCTGCATCCATTCCGCCTGCTCATTTCATTCCAAGCGTCCACATCTCGTATTTCATCTTTTCAGGCAATTTTCAATCACATCCTGACAAAAATGAGAAAAACACGGCAGAAGACATGTCACGTTTGGTTGGGAAAATGTGATTCACTGGCTTCGTCAGCAGCTTTTGACGCATCAGCACTTTTCCGACTGTTTAAAAAAAAAACAATAAAGTAAAATGAAGGGAAAGAGCAAAAATATTGCTTAAGTGCGTGGAAGTAGATCATTTTGTGTTTGGAGCACTGTACAGTTTTCGCCACTTTGACGGACAGATCGAACAGATCGTTTTAGCGTTCAACTTATACACATGAAAGCTCAGCTAGAGGCGTTAGCGTCTACATTACGACGCCCATTTTTTAATTATTACAGTACTTGGAATCACATTACCGGTGGAGTCTTGATGTCTGTTCTGGAACAAGTCCTCATAGCGGTGTCCATCTAGCTGCCCTCTTTCTCCCATTTTTCCCATGTCACGTGACCTACAGAAGGAGCGCTAGTGTTGGTTTCACGCAGCCAGCCAGTTGGGCGGGGATTCTGAGTGGGCTTCATTTATATGTCCACAACAGATGGACGGTACTTAAAAACGAGCGCACCCGCAGGAGAGGTGGTGGACCGCAGTGCCGCTTTAAAAAAATAATATAGTATTCATTGAAACAATACAATGCTTATCGTCATTCCATACATTATTATTAGACCAATGTAAAAATAATTCTACAATAAAATAGCTGTTAAAAATTTACACTCTCACACACACACACACACACACACACACACACACATACACGCGCACCGCGTACACACTTACACAATTTGGTAAATGTTTTCTCTCTCTCTCTCTCTCTCTCTCTCTCTCTCTCTCTCTCTCTCTCTCTCTCTCTCTCTCTCTCTCTCTCTCTCTCTCTCTCTCTCTCTCTCTCTCTCTCTCTCTCTCTCTCTCTCTCTCTCTCTCTCTCTCTCTCTCTCTCTCTCTCTCTATATATATATATATATATATATATATACACAGGTATATTATAACCACTGAGGATAGAAGACAAATCTATTTGACAAATATTAATTGCTTTGGTAATAAAGTTTTTTTACTTGAAACAAGGCGGCCCGGTAGTCCAGTGGTTAGCACGTCGACTTCACAGTGCAGAGGTACCGGGTTCAATTCCAGCTCCGGCCTCCCTGTGTGGAGTTTGCATGTTCTCCCCGGGCCTGCGTGGGTTTTCTCCGGGTACTCCGGTTTCCTCCCACATTCCAAAAAAACATGCATGGTAGGCTGATTGAACACTCTAAGTTGTCCCTAGGTGTGAATGTGTGCCTGGATGGTTGTTCGTCTCTGTGTGCCCTGCTATTGGCTGGCAACCGATTCAGGGTGTCTCCCGCCTACTGCCCGAAGACAGCTGGGATAGGCTCCAGCACCCCCGCGACCCTAGTGAGGATCAAGCGGTTCGGAAGATGAATGAATAATTGAAACAATCTCCCCACTTTTTTTTTTCTTCATTTCGCCCCAATAGGAATTACAATATTAATGAGCGTGAGATATTAACGCATTTTCGGAATTTGGGGACAGGCTCTGTTCCTTATCTGCCGCAAATAGCGGGAACTGATTGCTCTCTTAATTAAAATAAGCTTTAGCGTTTTATAAAGGCAATTCGTGGATTTAGACTGGAAATCCACGGGGACGGAGTTGGCCCGTGCCTAATAATGTGACAATTAACGATGTATTAATCACACATTTTATATTTTTAAAACACTTTGACGGCAGTATTTAACATTTAACATAATATTGTGCATCCACTGCCCATAGTAACAGCATCAAGTTTAACTTTGATTTGGTGTTGTTTTTTTTTTATTGTACAGAGAGAAGGTTTTTTTTTTCCAGTTTCATTCATTCATTACTTTTTATCGCTCTGCAATAAATTTCAGTTCGAATAATTCTCGCAAAATTAACCTGTGAATAGTAACAGTCAAAGAAACAGATGGGACATCACACACACACACACACACACACACACACACACACACACACACACACACACACACACACTTGTAGTACATTAGACTAGAGTATATGGATATACTCTGTCGCCCTCAGGCTACACAGCATTTGCAGCCACCGTGTAGAAGCATTGTCATGTTTTGCCCTGAGAGCCTTCAGTCAGTCAGCCCCACTCCAAGCCGCATGCCAAACACCAGTGACGTGCATGAATGAACATTTGGCACTGTGTGCGTTCGTCTGATGCAGCACAGATGCGGGAAGCGGTTTAACAATAGTCAAAACAAACATTCTGACAGGAAGACGAGGCCTTGTGAGGAAATCCAGACGAGGCTACCTTCTGATGATTTGACTCTCAACTTTGGACATGTGCCATTTGAAAAATGAAGGTCAGCAGAGCGGGTGAGTGGATCATGTCTGAAAAATAATCAAACCCAAATATTGTCAAAGAAAAAGTACGTAGAAGATCTTTTAAAAGATGTGAAAATAAAAAGTAGCCCGTCACTGAACTGCCTGGAGATGGTGCTGTGCAGTGTGCTGTGACCAGAAGGCTACCCCTGAAAAAGAATGAATCTCAATGTAACATTCGGGTTGACGAATTAAAACTGTTGACATTTTCACCCCCTTCATTCCTCCAACCCTGACCTTCATCTTTTACAATGGCGCACTGCCGCAATGACGCTGACTGTGCATTTGTTCCATCTTCCTGAAAGCGCCGATGGCCTTTAGCCCCGACAAGACAGTCTCATCGCACTAATCTCCGATTAACTGCTACAGATGCCGATGTTGTTTTCATCGCATTCATCAAAGGTGCTGTGATTCAGAGTGACATTCGGGCAGATGCTTTCATAAATGCCGTTTTTGACTCCAAGGGATGCGATGAAATCGATGACGACAAACAAGAGGCAATGAGAACACAGACGCATCAAGTGCAAAGTGTTTTACTTCGTATAATCTCGTTTCCATCCATAGGCAGACACGTACAGCAACAACATAACAGACATTTGAGGAGACATTCCAATTTTCTTTGAAACTTGTTGAACCCGGTTGTGGGGGAAGGGAGTGGAAGAATAAATGGATCATTGACACAACAGTATTTCGTGCTTTTACAGCAGTCTCACCTTATCCTCATCCAAAAGGACTTTTGATCATCTTTTCACATTATCATTATTTCATTTCTTTTGTTGGACAGAGAAACAGATCTTATGATGAGACAATGCAGTGGAACCTCTAAAGAGAAACACAAACCGGTGGAACCCCAATTTGGTTCTGATTTTTATCGTTCAGTAATTTGCTTTTGCAATCTGGGCTCTGCTCTGACGAGAAGACAATGCTGTCGTCAAGTTTCTGCCCCAGGTCGCCATGGTAACGAAAGGCAAGACTTCTCATAGTAAATGGTGCGATGTGTACAGTTGCTCACTTGCCTGAGGCCGGGCCTAAAACTGGACAAGAAATAGGATGTTAAGTGTTGTATACTTCTTGATCTTTGGGGGTATTTTGACAAAAGCCTGTCAGAGACAAACAAAAATATAAAGTGTCATCTTTAAAACCCACAATCTCGTTTTAATAAAGGTCCAATAAAGTGATTTGAATCACGTCTCATTTTCTAAAATAAATCAAATCAGAAAAACTTTAAAGGGGAAGTCAACGCCTACATTTTTTTTCCAAGAATATGTTCTATGCAGCCCCACGAGTCTAAACACGGCGTTCTGATTAACATTGCCTTTGTGTAATATGAGTTGAGCACGGGGCGGCCATTTTGCCACTTGCTGTCGACTGAAATTGACATCACAGTTGCTCATGGCTCAGATAACGACCAATCATGGCTCAGCTTTACAAAACGGGTGAGCCGTGATCGGTCGTTACCTGGATCCTGAGTAACTCTGGAGGTCATTTTCAGTCAGCTAAAAGTGGCAAAAAAGCTGCCCACAGATGGCTAAAAACGCATACGCAATATTAATCAGAATGCTGTTTGGCGTAGTGGAGGCACATAGAACACATTCTTGTAAAAAAAAAAAAAAAAAAAAAACATCTAAAACAAGTGACTACACAAATGGGGTCTTCCTACTCGGCTCATGAATGTTTTCTTTTCGAACAAATGTCACAAAAGAAGCCATGAAATGTCAAACACACGTCCAGAGTGTTGTTTTCTTTTTTTTAATGCTTGAACTGAGGACTCACATTTTATGTCTACAGCGAGGTTGGTGCTTCTTTTCGAAGAATCAACAAAGGGTGAATTGAGGCAACAGGACTCCTCTTGTTTGTTGAAGACGTTTCTACCTTAATCCAGACAGCTACTTCAATTCAAAACTTTTTAAGCCTGCAGACTCCCCTATTTATGCCTCTAATGGGTGTGTCGCCTTGGGGTGGTTTCACAATCAGGTTGTTGTTGTTGCTCAGCATTGACTGGTGAATGACCGCGCTGCATAGCAATCGCTTGTTTACCTGCCCTGGTGGCGTAATGGCTCATTAAGTCGCCACTCTTTACGGGGAATGAGGCAATCCTTTGGGGACAGCTTGACAGGATGTAAGCAGACCATACGCGATGCTTATCTAGTTTGACAGAGATGGCTTCTTTGAAACAAGGGGGCGTTCTTGGCATCCAGAAGTGCGAAATTGTTGTCTTTAAAAGCAATGTAGCCTCTACTGACGCTGGACCTGCAGAAAATGTTGTGCCATTTGCTTGTGAGTAGTGGCCCCTCAATTTGATTTAGGAACGTTCTATGTAATGTTTTTCTCTAGCGTTTCAGTTGTGAGTTGTAATAAGAGTGTTCACCACTAGATGGAAGATTTCACATTCAATTTCTTTTTGAAAAGGAGACTATTACCAGGAAGGATACTTTGATACACCATGCGGAAACGCTATACTGTATAAGGTTTACTTTCCCCTTAGCTTGAAGCCTAACTGCACAAGCCATTTCCGATCCACAGGAGTATTTTTTAGGAGTGATTTCCCCCCGTTTAACGTACACTTCGCTCTGGCATAATTGTTAAGTCTGGGGAGACATCTTCAACAACCAAGAAGAGTCCAGTTTCCACACTTAAACCTTTGCGGATTCCTATGACTTGGACCAGAATCACTACAAAAGCCAAAGAAAAAGTTAATCAATGAATGCCTGCAGACATCTGTATTGCCAAAATGTTTTTTTTTTTTTTTTTGCGTGTATCAAGAGGTGTATTTCCTCAAACAACACCAGAATTCGACCCCAGGAAGTTTTGAGTGAACATTACAATTTGGGACGGCATTAGCGCAGTAAATGTAGTTCAAACTCCACATTGTACCAACTCGTGGATATTGGACATTAGAGGTTCGACTGCATTGAAGCAATTGAGAAAGTCCGGTCTGTTATCAAGTTAGCGTCAAAAGAAAGCCTCGCTACAAAACCAATGCATAGGAAAAAAAAACAGCGTGGAAGCACAAGGTGAGCGTTTGCATTCATCCGCAGCACAACACATTGTCAGCTCGCACCATTGATATTCCTCGCGCTCATTGGCACAATGCCGTCCCGTCTGTAAAGTGTCTCTCGGTGGTAGCGCTGAGTTATCGGCACCTCTCAGTTGTCAGACACCATATCAAAAATATCCTCTATTCAAACGTTAAAAGTCTCTGTTAGAAAAAGGCCTGAAATATAGAGCGATATGATATATCAAACATGCTCGTGTCGATTTGTATAGAAAGGAACATTTGATGCAAATTAATACTTCCTCGACAATCCGTGTCCAGAATGGTGAGATGGATGATGAACACATCGTCTGTGATGTACGGTGCATACCCACGGGACATCAGTTTTGCCTGGCTTCAGTCCAGCAGCTAACACAGGGGTGTCAAACATACGGCCCGCGGGCCGGATCCGGCCCGCAAAGGAGTTTAATCCGGCCCGCGAGATGATTATGTAAAGCAGGGGTGTCAAACATACGGCCCGCGGGCCGGAACCGGCCCGCAAGTAGGTTCAATCAGGCCCGCAGGATAATGTAAAAGTGAAAAAAATGCATTAAAGACACAGAATTAATATTTTTAATCAGGTGCAATTCATTGAGTATCTGCAAGGGGACACTGTTTTGATCAGAGAAGAAGACAACAGCAGCCTCAGTCTGTCACTGAGACAGACCCATGACAGCAGACGCTATCAATAGCACTCTCACATTTACACATTTAATAGCACTCTCCTTAGTTTGTAAGGTGTAGGCAGGGATTACATTTAGATTTTATATGCACGTGTAAATGCTTTAAAACTTGCTTTCTTTATGAATCTTGTTTAATCTTAAAGTGCATTACTATATTTTTCAATACCAATTACTTGTTAAAGTTTGTACAATCAGTGGGATCAGTTGCAATGCATATATGTGAATGATAAAAGTAAATTGCACATTTGTCGAAGGAAATGTAAGGTGCTTCATGAAATGTTTTGTCAAAGATATGTTGATTAAATTTCAACATTTTCCTAATGTTCTTGTGCTTCTTTATACCAAAACAAAGGAAAGACATATTGTTTTGGTTATTTATAGCAAAGTATTGTATCATTTTAATGGTCCGGCCCACTTGACATCAACCGAGGCCGTATGTGGCCCACCATGTGAAATGAGTTTGACACCCCTGAGCTAACAGGTACACTTCTCAAAACATTTTTCTAACCACCGTTTAATGGTTACTGTAACCGAGGAATTGAGGTAGGTGACATTGTATAGTCCTCACAAAGCCACTGAGGATTTATGTAAAATTGCAGACTAATGCTCTCCCCCTCCCCCCCAAAAAAATCCCAAAACGCTTCGACATTCCATCAGATTTAAATACATCAGCGCCTTGAGATATGTGATTCTTCTTGTGGTGTGCCCGCCTTGGCCACCAGGGGGCAGTAAATCACGGATACACATAGACACATGAAGGGCTCATTCAATGCCAAATCGCCCGTTGGGTTGAACCAAGCGCTGATTCAGAGCCTGTGTCGTTTCTAAATAAATCACGTGACCGGTGACAAACGAGGCTTTGCTTTGTGCGTATGACATCGTTGGTAAATTCGACGTATTGTTGCCTGCTAACACTTGAGACCTCATACTGCTTTGTGGCTGTTGACTGGGCAAAGTGTTAAAATTCCCGAATTTAGAGGAACCTCTTGAGGGAACTGTCACACTTAATAGCTTGTGTTAATTTTAAAATGTTCACGATGTGTCATTTTGAGTAAACTCTTCTGAAATGTGTAAAAAATTTGTTTCTCATGTTATGTTTGTGTGTCGTGACTTTGTGAGGACTACAAAAAGCATCTCCTCCACTCTGACTTCAGTCTTCTGTTTGCACAACAACCCACCTCCCCAACCTCATTTCACTGTTGCTGCATCAGGTTTGCTATTTTTTTTTCCCCCAAGCAGGTGCTCAGAATCCAAAGGCTGGATTTATCTCCTGTTGGCAGAGAGCCATCAAAAATAAGATAGATGCTTGGCTTCCACTCTCCAGCATCGCTTCGCAGGTGGAGCCGTGGGGTCTCAAGAGGGACCTGCGAGGGAATGAAAGAGAGCAAAGGCATTTAGAGGGAACGCAGACAAGAGCCACTTGACTGAGTGGTCGCCGCGACAAGTATTTGCACTGAGGGAAATGAAAGTATCGTGAGGCGCGCACACACATACGCACGCATACACACATTAAACACCTAAAATGTGAGCAGCAAGCCATCTGGAGTAGTTTGAAAACAAAAAACGTTTTTGTGACAAGTCATTGAATGGCCCATGGCCCTCTTTCAAGACCCTGTTTGGTCATCTTGTAGGTGTCACTTCAACGAGCACAATATCATGTCTGGAACACTGCAGAGGTAAGGTCCGCCACAAACCTTTAACAATCCCCGAAGGAGCATAAAAATCTGTTTCAAGACATCACGTACTCATTTATGAACATCTCAAGAGGGTGACACACACACGCACGCACACACATTGATCTACTGTATTTCCTTCTACTAAAGCTGAGGCAACAAATAGCCACCATGGACAACTAGCACCATGTGTCTTGGTCCTGTGCATGGCATCCGTAAAGCTGACAATACAAACAGGACTATATTCTTTATCCTCTGTGAAAAACCATTAACTCATTCAATCCCAGCATGGAGCCTACCAAACTAAAGTTTGGACCCTCTTCTTTCAGCAGAAAAAAAAAACTTTGTTTCTATCGTTTTCCATTCTTCAGCAATCGGCATTACAAAATGGCTATGTTTCATGGAAATGGCGATTCCTGGGCAAAAAACGGAGAAAAGGAGCTATTTGTAAAAGCATGCATGTCAATCACGTGAGTCACCACTGCCACCTACTGGTCGCTTTTTTACATGATTTAAAATGCAAACGGCTTATTCTCATTCAAAGATTGTATCAGACCCTCCTACTCTCTATGGCACAAAAAAAAGACTTAGACGTACAAGTACGTCCTTGGTAGGCGGGGCCTAATTTGAAAGACATACAAGTACGTCTTGTGGAATGAAAGAGTTAATATTATTGTGGTGCCACAGTAGCTGAGTGAAACGCTTTCGTTCAATTACAAGTAATTTCTTTTATTTTGCCGGGGAGGTTGGAAATTGATTAATTGTGCGTTCATTCATTTCAAAGAATGGTCATGACATGGAAGAAATACATATTGTATCTCAAGGCATCGTGGTATGTTTTTACCATCGTGCAACATATTAAATAAATAACTATTTTCAAGTGGCATGATTATATTGAGTCGTTGCGGTTATGACCGCGCACACAGGCAAGCGTGCGAACTTGTTTTCAAGCATCATTGATGACTCAAGTGAGCCAAATTTCCACTTTGAAAGTTAATGAACTTTCCGCATGGTTTATGCCAACAACTTTTAGGCACGCAGGAGTTCGATTATTTTGCTTTGACGATTCCCTTCCAATGCCGTCTTTTTCAAACGCGCCACTAAAACGTGATAAAAACAAACGCGTCGACGAGCTCTTGGCAGAGCGCCGTCCCTGATGCGGCGGCTAATTAATATTCACTGGCCAAGTGTTTGTGCGTAGCTCACTCTTGACACCTTTATTACGCTTTATTGCAAGCTTTTATGGAGCGATATGCACTTGCCAGCTTGCGAAATGGGAGGAAAATAGAGATAGAGGCACCGAGAGTGTAAGGCGGCGTTTGATGTTTTTAAGACACGGCCAACAAATCAAACGTTAAGCTCCGACGTCATTATTCATTTCATAAAGATGTCAAAGCAAGAGACCTATTGATTTTGAAGGGTGTCCAAGCCAAGAGGTCACATAAGCTCGCTAAATGTTCCGCGGTAGGCGCTCCGATTCTCAACCAGTCTTCCAACCACAATCAGAAAACGGTCGAAGCAACAATTTGAAATGTTAATAAACCTGTTTGATATTTATGATCCTTTTTCCTATAAGTACACACTTTTCTGGATTATATCTGACGTCGGCGCGAGAACCTTCTCGATTAGGGTAGAAAACCCGAGAGAATTGGCCAATGTTGTACCGGTCCGTGTTTTTTTACCCGACGCCTATCGATGTAATTTTCAAGCCATTTTCCTCTGCGGCGGTCGCTTCGCTGGGAGGACACAGCGTTGGCTGCACAGTGTTCGAGTTAATTACGGAAGCAGCAGGTGTAATCATTTGCCCAATTAGCTTTTACACTTCATCGCTTCGCTCCATCGCAAAGTGAAAACACACGCCGCACCGCTGTGTCATTTATCAGCGGAAGCATAATTGAGCGAGAGGCTCCATTCGTAATTTCAAGTCATCCAGTGGAGGACGCGCAAGACAAGCGCGACGGGCTCGCTTGATGAAAGACGCCGTTTGAATGGTTGCCAGAGATGCACCGGGTACTGTTTGGGTGGAGCGTATGTGCTCGGCGAGGTACCGAGGAGATTGCTGGTGAGTGGGAGTCGTGCATTGTCAAGAGGGGCTGGGATGTGAAAGAAAGAGAGAGGTGGGCTCCGGATGAACAGTGGTGAGCAGCTGCAGGGAGTAGGTCAACGCGGTTGACTCAGTCCTGACTCACGGCGGAGGCGGTGAAGATCCACCTCCTCCCTCCATGCCCCTTACAACTCTTTCCCAAAGCCAGGAGCTAATACGCAACTATACATAGCCGTTACGACAGATGAAAACGCCCAGTGTGAAGATCACTGAGGACGCCAAATGAGGTAAAATGAACAGAGCGCAAGTCAGTTAGCTTCATGTAAATTTATCTGACTAACCTAACATGAGCCCCGACGAGGGCAGCGTCTCTATTATCTCTACTGTCGATTTTGTGGCTTTTATACCAAGGTGACAAGTACAAGTATATGCTCCTGAGCATAATTACTACACATCAACGTGCTTATCGGTTTTGATCAGTATAAGGCATGGGCATTGTTGTACTCAAGTGGCTGGCTATGTTTTGAAGGGTTTGGGAGAAGTCCATCCATCAATCCATCCATTTTCTGATCCGTTTTTATCCTCACAAGGGTCGCAGGGCGTGCTGGAGGCTATCCCAGCTGTCTTTGGGCAGTAGGCGGGGGACACCCTGAACCAGTTGCTAGCCAATGGCAGGGCACAACCATCCACGCTCACACTCACACCTTGGGACAATTTGGAGTGTTCAATCAGCCTGCCATGGATATTTTTGGAATGTGGGAGGAAACTGGAGTACCCAGAGAAAACCCACGCAGGCACGGGGAGAACATGAAAAACAGAGCTGGAATCGAACCCGGTACCTCTGCACTGTGAGTTTGACACGCTAACCACTGGAGCACCGGGCCACCCTTTCGTAAAGTCAAATGAAGGATATATTTGTTTACTGTTGAGGTGTCGTCATTTTAGTTTGAACACTTCCACAAACTTCCACTATTAAAATGAATATTTGGCTTATCCCTCGTCAACTGATCTTAGCTCATAAATGGAGAGCCATGAACCTTCTGCAATATGATAAAATGCTTGTGAATCAAGTGAAGGTGCATCAAGGCCTTTTTTAAATTGCCTTATTTTTCGATACAAGAAATGCGAAGTTTAAACTGAAATATATATTTATGTTTGCAATTGCCACATGGCAAATGTTTGACCCCGGAGGGGAAAAAAAAAATCAATAAATAAACGCTCCTCAAAATTACAACATTGCTCCTCAAACGAAGTCATCGATTGTTCCTCAAAGAGAAAAAAAAAACATATTTCGAGCCTTGCACACACTTGCCCATTTTGTCCCCAGCATATGTGGGGGTCTGCCCTGTTTTCAACATTGCTTAAAATGTTCAAAACCGTTGTGTGTATCCTGCTTGATAAGACAATACAACGCAAACATTCGCCGAGACGTGAGAATGTTAAATGGGATTTCCTGCGTTCATTTTACACTACCGCAAACCTGCTGATCTGGATCAGACTCGGATGAAAGGCTTTAATTAAACTTTCATTTAACTGAATAGTTGAACGTCACACCCAGCGATCCCGCTTGCTCGCAGCTAATTCTGGTCAAAGCAGATAAGATTTGACAGTTACATGAAGATAAATCCACTTAGGTTGACTCTCCTGCTATCTTGTGCTCGCGTATAAACAGAATGAGCGACTCATTACAAAACAATTACTGGAAGCACATTTTGGCTGTACCGAGCAGTCACAAGCGCCAAAGGACGTAGATCAACAGAACTCCTTTTCCGGGTCATGTTTTATCATGACCACATGTTGCTAAGGAGAGTTCACTTGGGTCACCATCATCGTCACCATACATCATTAATTGCCATGTCCCAATGTGGGTTGGGGAAGACTCACATAAGCAGCATTATGAAAACAGAACTCAATTTTCTTAGCAAGAACATGTTGTATGTGCTCCCACTAGTACTCTGATTAATACTGCATTGGTGGAATAAGAGTTAAGCAGCTAAAAATGCATCAATATTCATCCATTTTAAGGGATCACCATTTTGGCAAATATAATCAAACCTCGGTTTTCGAACTGTTGTCGACCAAATCGGATTTCGACCACAAAATTTGAGATTTTTACGCCTTGGATTACGACTGAAAACCGGTTTTCGACCAAACTGAGCAAATTCGAATACGCCACTCGACTCCTCTCGGCTTCCTTACACGAGGAAGTGAGGCTTCCTCGTGTAACATTCAATGTGAGCAGACCTGTTTGTTGTGATTTACCCAAATCTGACTGTTTTTTTTTTTTTGTTATTTCTGCAAAGTGTATTAGCCCCTAAACATGGGCTAATAAAATAGTTTCGGATTTCAAACAAATCGCTTTTCGAACAGCCTTCTGGAACGGATTATGGTGCGTGGGAATCTCCCGTCGCGATAAATCCGTATCTTAAGTAGGACTCCTGATACTGTCTTATTGAATGTAGCCTTCTTTTTCTTGGAAGTCGTAGGCTCCTCTTCTGTCTTATGGCTGGGCCTTTTCCTCTTCCCAAAGATGTTTGTTTTTTTACTCATTTTGCTAGCTCCTGGGTTTCATTTTAGCGGTAAGCTATCACGTGACTGAGAAGCACCGCCTTCACCCTTGTCAAGAGTGACATATTGTCGACGGATGTAACGGCGAATCCGGTTCATTTTTCAAAATAAAACATCTTTCAGACAACGAAATGAATAAAACGGAAGTAATGCAAGTTATTAATTCTTTCTGTGCGGCCCGGCACCAAATGACTGGTCCCCGGCCTGGGCATTTGGGGTCCACTGCTGTACACCACATTGCGATTGTGTGCACCATGACCAGTCTCTCGTCATAAGAGGGCACTGTCCCGCCTTCACCCACGTCAAGAGTGACATATTGTCGACGGATGTAACAGAGAATCCGGTTAATTTTTCAAAATAAAAAATCTTTCAGACTATGAAATTAATAAATCGGAAGAAATGTAAGTTATTTATTCTTTCTGTGCGGCCCGACGCCAAATGACTGGTCCCCGGCCCGGGGGTTTAGGGGTCCACTGCTGTACACCACATTGTGATTGTGTGCACCATGACCAGTCTCTCGTCATAAGAGGGCACTGTCTTTTAATTCCAATGTAAGTCATGCAATGTTGCAATGAATAGTTTCAATTCCCTCTCTCCACTGACGAGTGTATTAGCTAGTAAGGCAGCCAAAGTGCTTATGTGCTGTGCCTATCAATGACGCTGGCTGCACGCCACTCTGTAGAACGCGCCGCTCCATTCATCTCAAGTGCGCGTGTTGTGTCAGTGGCAACACACGCCGCGCCAGACTCATTAGCCTGAAAGAGTACAAACAAGGTAAACAAGTGGAATAGTTTGCGTTGATGAGAGCCATCACTCTATCTCTGTTAAACATCACTTCATCTCGCACACTCGTCAACACACGTGCCGCCTTGTCTTCCCCTTGGCTCAATTCACACGGATGCATTATCCAGCTTTTGGATTGAAAGGCCGGTAATGTCACACCTTGGGTTTGCATTCATCTGTAAGGATATCTAAAGTTATTCATGGTTTAAGGATTATTTGAGCTAGCAGCACATTATTTCCCTTTACATTATTTTCTGTATAGTGTAATGTTTTGGGGAAATGAAAACAACTTGGAAGGGACCGTATTCTCGACAGTATTTACATATCAGACTGCAAATGTGTGACAAAAGGCCATTTCTGAGCAGACCTCGGCACACGGGAGGAGGCCGTACTGTACTGCCAGATCTGAGCAGATGGCGTCATTGGACATTTTCCATCCTCGGAGGAAAAAACATAAGCCTGATGTGTCTTTGAAGTCTTGCACCTGTCCAATTTGGCAGCCACCGCTGTCGCCTTGACCTTGAGCCATCTCTTTGCGGAGGTACTGAGAGCCGCAGCAGCACATGTGGCAACACCTGTCTGCCACCGAATGTCTGCAGATGGAAGACTGTGCTAGCGTTGTTTGAACCATATGTGGGGTCTCTTCACTCATACAAAATCTTTGAATAAAAAGTGGAACATTCACCTTTTCGGAGGATCTGTGTTTCCTTACCTCTTTCCAGTAGAGCCAAACTTGTATTAACTACAAATATCAGGTTGCAGACTAGACAGCCCACACGATGTCCTTTTTCTAATGCTTTTTGGAATGATCCCCCCCCCCCCTTTTTTTTTTTTTTTGGGCAACAGATACACGGTGGGGAAAATCAAAGGCCATCCCTTGAATATACATAAGGGAGCCAATTAGCCACCTGTTACATCATCAATCCCTCCATCCATTTCCTATGGCACTCACTCGTCCTCATTAAGGTCGTGAGTGATCTTGATCGTATCCCAGCTGACTTTGGGCAAGAGTCCGGGCAGTTATACACTGGACTCCTTGCCAGCCAATCGCATGGCACTAAGACAAACAAACACTGGCACTCACAACGATGGAAAATTTCGACTCAAACTCATATTATTCCTTCCTTCCACAAGATTGTCTGAAACCTGAGCGATGACCACATTTTCCGCACTGTAAGGCACTTCAGAGTATAAGGCGCACCTTCAATGAATGGCCTATTTAAAAACTGTTTTCATATATAGTATAGGGCGCACCGCATTATAAAGCGCATAAGAATAGAAGCCACAATAGTGGCTGCGGTTCTGTTATGCATCCACTAGATGGAGTTACGCTAAAGGGAATACAAAACAATACAATGCAGCTTTACTTATATAAAGCTTTCACAACCGCTGCAGCTGTAGCAAAGCGCTTTACGGAACATTTGAAATACTACGTCCAAGAAATTGGAATATTGATCTGTATGTACGCCGCATTGGATTATAAAAAATATAATTTTGAGAAAATTGAATGCTTTTAGGTGCCCCTTATAGTGCATAAAATACGGTCGTCCACATACTGACATGGTTAACTGCTGAACACATTTGATATCTGTTACTGCCCAAAACAGCACCACTGAAATCCTGTTGATAATCTTACGCTGTGTGACATTCCACTGACTAGACTCTGACATGTGACCGCTCCACAATGTTGTGCGCGTGTCCATGTTAACGTTCCGGGGAGCTATAGATGACATATTTGTCCTGCTCGTAACTGATTCAGTTCTTTTCTTTTCACAGTTAGACTGGCAATACTGACGAATATTACGACAATAGACACCTCATCCCAACAGTAACTAAGTAAATAAAGGCCCCAAGCCACTAATTGCAAAAATGTGAGTTTTCCATTTACCGGTGTGCTTGAGCATTTGTGACAGATTTGTTGCAATTTCTCTCTGATGCAATAGAATCAAAGGCTTTTAATATACACCTCTATTAATACACACAGATGTGCAGCTCAAACCTACTAACATTGAGTAGTAGGTCAAATTCCTGGATGTGTACATAACAATGTACTCGAGCCACACGGCATCTCACACGGCCTCTTTCCATTAAATTCAATTTAAAGCAGCCCAGTGGTTTTTGCGTAATCATGCTGGCAGATGGACAAACAAGACAGCAGATGTGGGTGAACATTCACATGAAAATTGTTTATGTAACGCATCGCCGCACCTAAAAGCCACGCCGTTTGCCCCACATTTTGCGGGCTCCGTCGTGGTTTACTTCAATGTATTCCTTGCCTCGCCTCTCGTTTCAGAGGAAAAATGTGCAAGCGGCTGTAGCTGAGTCGGGGGGCTGATGTCAGCGCAAAGGTCGTGTGAGGCGCTTTGCATTATCTGCTGTAGACTAATGCAGCTAATTAAGGGCATCACCGCAAGGAAGGTGCGACTATTCTCAGCCCACTCAAGGGGATGCTGTCTCCCCAACTCGGCCCGCCGGACATGCGTTTTTTTACACAGCCATACACACTCGATTTAGAAAAGTCACATGCACACAAAGCGCTCACGTACAAGCACAGCAGCGCTATTAAACATGAAAGCTAGTGCCAAATTATGATGTGACGTTGGCTTTATGAGCAAACGAATGTTTTCGGCACCGTTTTCTCCATAGATGATGAGAACTGATGACCTTACTGCCTCTGTTACGGACCTTTGCCAGGCACAATTCGAAAGCGATTACCCTCAAACTGTACGGAATTGATATTTGTTTCTGTCAAAGCCAGAAAATGGTGGATTTTTGCATATCCAATATCCAAAGCAAGATTAGGGAATTAGGATGGGTGCATATTTCTTCTCAGAGCCAGATAAGGAGCTCAATTTTCCACCAATCATCTTCAAACCGTATTTGCAGAGTCATACATTGCAGAGGTTGGTCCAAGGTAAAATCTGTGGGTACGCGTTCCTTGTCGGAGCTCCGTAGGGACTCGATTTTCTACCAGTTGTCTATAAAACCACGTATTCGGTTTGTACAGTTAAGGACACAATGTTACAGTGGCAGCTGAGCTATTGATGATTCATAACAAATTTAAAGTTTGTTCTGATTATTTGTCAGTGATCTTGTCTGATTTCGCATAATATCCAAATCAGCAGTGTGGAGCTCGTTTCTCCCCGTCGAAACACCACAATGTGTTTGAATAACATTTGCCGAAAGACTGCAAAAGTTACTTAACGACTATTCCACAGCTCTTCAAACTATTGATTCAAAATCTCATCCGGTCACTTCCGAAGCTATTTTTATGTCAGAGATCTGAAGTGCAAGGGAAGGAGCTTTTTTTTTTTTTCTTATTTGCGCCATGAAACCATGAATTAATCAGTGGTTCTCCAACCTAAGTTCCCTGGACTCATTAGTAACAGGAGCCTCCATACAGACACAGATACCCTTGAGTTGGATCACAGTCGGCGCACTCGCTCCTGAAATATTCACATCTCTATATTTCCCTCATCACTCGACTTAACATCCATCCCGTCTGTTTTCTATATCACCTGGCTTCATTAGTATCGCGGGTTAGCTCCAGTCAAGCACAGGCAATACGCGCAGTGCGCAGAAGTCCCGAGGCCAGATTGAAAACGTGCTAATCACAGGAATCACCACAAATAAAGTCACACATGATATAAGCAAATAAACATATACGCAGCCAAAGATGCATCAGTGCACATATGCAATTGCCTCTTTTGTTCCTTCCTTGTGACAAACACACTTTCACACGCACACACACACACACACACACACACACACACACACACAAACTCACCTCTTGGTCTAAATCTGTGTGCATACATCTCGGAATCCACGGCGATGCCGCTTGCTCCATTCCGCTTATATTTCACCTCCTTTGTCTACCATTTTCCGGGCCTCGCTGTTTGAATAATCCCCAAAAAATTGGACCGGAGTAGAAGGCGCTCACTGAGTGGAAAACACTATGAATGATTGAGGATTGTGGATGTCAGACGGGTCACGGGGGGCTTTTCGTCAAACCGTGGTTGTGGTCGATTTGCGCAGGATTGTTTTCTGGGGTTTCAGGGAACCCGGGTGGGGAGGTACACAAGGCGGAGGGGGAGGAGTGGCGGCCTTGGGTGGAAAACAGTGGCTGACCGAGAGGCCGCCATTCTCCAGCATGAGTTCGTGAGGAAGAGGAGGGGAGGAAGAGGAGCAGTAGTGCACGGGGCTGAGTCGCGTTTCGTTCAGATCGGACTGCAAGTGCAGCTCTGCGTCGTCCACGTCATATTGCAGGTCACAGTCCGGGCAGTAGCCGTGATACTGGACCTTCTCGCTGAAGCGGACACGCTCCCTCTCGCGGGGCTCCCTGCCGGGGGCCTTGGGGCATTTGTTCTTTTCGTGTCGGAGAAGTGGCATGGGCCTGGGCAGTGTGGGAACCAGGCCCGACTCGGCGACACCGCTTTCATTTGTAATGAAACACGACGTCGGGGAGAATAAATCCCGGTTGGGCTTCAACGAAAAAAACCCACCGTTCTTCAGTAAGGATCCGTTAGCTTTGGATAAATTCCCTGATAGCACTAACGTCGGATGAGGCAGATTCTTCCCGTTGTGATCCTCGGCTCTCACCGAGGTAACTCTGGGTGGCGGCAAGGGCGGGTGCGCCTTCTTGTGTACGGTCAGGACCGCGGGAGGGAGGGCGAGGAGCGGGGCGACGGGGGCCGGCGGGATGAAGAGGCAGTCGTCGGCGAAGAGCTTCATCTTCTCCAGGCTGGACGCCGTGGTGGTGGTGGCGGTGGAACTGGAGCTGGAGTTGAGCGTGTCTGTCTTGGAGCTATCCGTCAGGCCGTCCTCCTCCAGCTGCAGGTCGCACGTCAAGGTATCGATATCGTGGACGACCTGGCCAACAGAGGACGTGGCACATCATGAACGACAACATTCAGGGCCATGAGAACTGCAGAAGGAATGAGCATGATCGCGTATCTCCTCATTCTAATCCATGCGTTGAAAAGCTCAAAGCCGAACAATTTCAACGGCTACACTTTGATTGAGGGAGCCTGATTTGGGAGATGAAAAATCGATTGCGATATCACACTGACAACCGCACCGCGGGGAGAAAAAGAAATAGCTCAGCAATTTATGGGGTCGGCCACAAGCCTGCCAGAACTGCACCTGAGTGATGGACTGCAAAAAAAATCCCATTCAGCATCACAAGTGAAAGAAGCGGCAACAACAAAAACAACAACATCCGGCATGGAAATGTTATTTGTAACTCAGAGCTGGTGATCGTAAAGGTGAAAGCACCAAGACTTGAAGACTTGACCAGAACGTGATCCGAAAATAAATGGACAATCTGGATCCGATCCAGGTTCAAGCTGGTTTGATATTTCAACTACAATCAAATTAAATCGAAACTGGACTCCCGGGCACCCAAATGCATCAGATGGGATTTTTCCATGCCAAGTTGAATTTGCTTGTGAATGTGAAATTTGAAATAGATCCAGATAGAACGTGGCTCGACATTACAGCTTTGATTCTGTCAGGCTTGGAAAATTGGAATCAAATCTGGAATCCATTTTCGATGGAACTAGACTTCATTGGGATTGCAGGTGAGCTGGAGCCTATCATAAGTTTCAAAAGGTGGTGTACATGTTCGGCGGACAAATGCCCATTTACACTCACATTCACACCTACGGACAATTTCGAGTCTTCGGTGAACCCAGTTGTAAGAACAAGCCATGAAAACACACACACAAGCACGGGGGGGAACACTCAAACTCCACATAGGAAGGCCCGAGCTGAGCCTCAAACATGGAACTTTTTAACTGTGAAGCAGATGTGCTAACCACTAACCCCGCTGTGGTGCCCTACAGTGAAATAAAATCACATAAAAAAAATAATATTTATACAGGGGTTAAAAAAAAATAATCATCAAGAATAATAGCGTCATCTTTTGAGAACAAAATGGAGCCCAAAATTTTCAAAAGTGCAAACTTTCCTCCAGCCAATATTGTGTATGCAATTCCAGATCATGTTCAAGATTCAACAATTTTTTTTTTTGTTGGATCATCCCAAAATCAGTCTAAATTCGATCCAAATCCACTGAAATAATTGTTCGTCTTGACGAAATAAACACGGCAAAACGTGTCTTAGCTGCAGTGCGGTACATTGCAGAGGAAGCGGTGTTGCCATTACCGTCAGACAAACAGCTTCCAAAACAGTAGAGGACGTTTAAATAATATCAAATTGCAGCTCTGCAAGCCACCGAAAATGACAGCAAGATGATCCGTCTTGGTAATGTGCATCGTGTGCCAGGGTGGAAGAGGAGACAAAGAAAATGCATTGTGGGAGAATCCAATGAACACCGTGAGAGGAAATTAGGCCAAAAAGGGAGCGATTTAGAAAGAGTGAATTATCCAGACAAAGTCGCTGCAGACTGTGCGGTAAACAAAGAGGAAGTATCTCTGCGGACTATACTGTGATGTCGGCGAAAAGAAGAAACTACTCAAGTGTCAGATATGCTACGATCACGTAAAAAAAATTGGCAAGGAATTAAAACTCAACCAGACTTCAATTTTTGGCAATCACAAAAGGGCAAACAAAAAAAGCAGAACAACAAGTGTGCAGGAACACAAAGCAGTCGAATGGTTATTATCTGAGGCCGTTAAGTGCTTCAGCATCAATGGGGATATACACAAAGGAAAACAGTTTGGTTAAAATGAGATAAAATGACATAAAAAGAGTCTTGGGACGAATTATGTTTGGATATTTTGCTTTGGTGTAGCCGTTTATGTTGCTTTAACGCTTTCATGCGCCCTGCAACCTGATAACATGATAAGCTGTCCACTGTGGTAACCGCTGTCCCTGAAAGGGGTTGAAGTCCATTACGGTCTGCTATGTTGAATTGACTATTGTCGTAAGATTGGGTGTACAAATGTAGAAATATCACGCTACTTCGCCCTTCTGGAAGCGGGACGATATTTGGGGTCAATTCCGCAAGAATCGCATGGAACGGCTAACGATTCCAATTTTGGCACAATTTATACATAGAGGCTCTTCAACCCAAAGGAGGAGAAGCCGTAGCCAAGACAAGAACCGAGATCCACAGTACTGTGCTGGAAAAGACTTTGATCTTCCTGATCTGGCCCCTTCTGAACCTGCACGCCGACTATAGCGCCACGCTAGCGCCATCGCGATGCATCAGCAATCCTGACCCGGCCGGCCCACTTCTGACCCAGTCGCTGCGTGACAACATTGCCGTCAAGCACGACCACAAGAGCAAAACGGTCAGCAGTTGATTGAAAACCTTTTTCGCCACCATTGATCTTCACCATCTCTTGTAAAAAGATCAGAACTTTCAGAAGAAGCTTTGCAGACATTAAGACACAGCTTTCATGCATCTTGCATTGAGGGGAGGATTCCACGAGGCGCATTGTGCCTTGAAGCTGAGATGGAGAGCCGCTCATCTGGCCGTCTTGTCCTTTGGGAAGTTTCTCCCATCTCCGCACAGGATCTTCTGAGCTTGATCATTCTTGGTCACCTTTTCACAGCGGCGCTTTCCAACTGATTGAGATCATGCTAGTCCCCCCTATTTTGCTTTTATTGTCCACAGATTCAGGTAGGGAAATGCATCAAAGCCGAGACTGTCTTGAATAAAGGAGAGGCTTATTTTCGGTCAACATATCAGAGTACAACTAACAAGTCAACGGGGTTGCAGTATGAAATATAAAAGCCAGGCAGGCAGTCTTTTCTCTACTCTACTCAAGAGTTTGAACACATGATGCCGGCATAGCACCTCTATTTGTATTGCAGTTCCACTGTCTTTGCTTTTTCTCTTCATCCCGAGTTCGGTCAGGCATAGCAGAGAGCAGCATATCATGCACAATCTTATTCCTCTGCCAGCACAGCAACTTTATTCGTCAGCAGATTTTTGTCCATTTTGGGTAAAACTCAATCTTGATTTTGAAAATAGGATGACCTCAGCACGGAATACATCTTTTGAGACACACCTCGCACTGCTTGACAACGGAACGACAATACGGTGCATTCGATGTCATCCGGTGATGACTGAAGGATGAAAAGGAGCACATTGCTCTTTGGGAACATCAAGTCCAAGACAGTTTTTTTTTTGTTGCCTTTGCAATATATCTGTCTATGAGCTCTTCAAGGCAGTCCATTCAACCTTGTGGCTCAATTTGTTTACAGAAACGGACGAGTGTGGAACTTTTGAAATGATCATAAAGCCCGGCAGAGCAGCATATCAGATCTAGTGGTTAGTACGTCTGCTTTACAGTTCTGTGGTTTGGGGTTTGAATCCCTGCTTCACCCTTGCGGTGTGGCGTTGTGTGTGAATTTTCTGCTGGTATTTTGGTTTCCTCCAGCATTCCAAAACCACTCATATTAGAATCACAGGAGAGTCGAAACTGTATAAACGTCCGAATATGTTATGTATGAATGGCTTTTGATATGCCCCTTGCGAGTGTCAACCATGACCCTAATGAGGATAACAACTATTGAAAAGGGATGGAGGGAATGATGGATCAATGGAGTTTGAACACATGATGCCGGCATAGCACCTCTATTTGTATTGCAGTTCCACTGTCTTTGCTTTTTCTCTTCATCCCGAGTTCGGTCAGGCATAGCAGAGAGCAGCATATCATGCACAATCTTATTCCTCTGCCAGCACAGCAACTTTATTCGTCAGCAGATTTTTGTCCATTTTGGGTAAAACTCAATCTTGATTTTGAAAATAGGATGACCTCAGCACGGAATACATCTTTTGAGACACACCTCGCACTGCTTGACAACGGAACGACAATACGGTGCATTCGATGTCATCCGGTGATGACTGAAGGATGAAAAGGAGCACATTGCTCTTTGGGAACATCAAGTCCAAGACAGTTTTTTTTTTGTTGCCTTTGCAATATATCTGTCTATGAGCTCTTCAAGGCAGTCCATTCAACCTTGTGGCTCAATTTCTTTACAGAAACGGACGAGTGTGGAACTTTTGAAATGATCATAAAGCCCGGCAGAGCAGCATATCAGATCTAGTGGTTAGTACGTCTGCTTTACAGTTCTGTGGTTTGGGGTTTGAATCCCTGCTTCACCCTTGCGGTGTGGCGTTGTGTGTGAATTTTCTGCTGGTATTTTGGTTTCCTCCAGCATTCCAAAACCACTCATATTAGAATCACAGGAGAGTCGAAACTGTATAAACGTCCGAATATGTTATGTATGAATGGCTTTTGATATGCCCCTTGCGAGTGTCAACCATGACCCTAATGAGGATAACAACTATTGAAAATGGATGGAGGGAATGATGGATCAATGAATGGATGGAGGGTGTCTAAATATCCTAAAGACAATGCAAACGTATTTTGTTCTGAAGGATTCATAAAAATTACAGCAACAGCGACTCGCTGCTATTCATTTTTAAACAGCCACATAGTCTGGCCCACACTGTTCCCTTCTTCTCAAGACTTGTGATAGAAATTCTGTCTCGTGTTTAGACCGACAAGAGGAGAAACAGAGCGCGCGCCAAAAACGCGGATAATATAAGGGCCCGGCCAGATAAAGTAATGGAGCTTAACTCTCCCCTCACTCCTAAAAGGGATAATTTGTTGGGACACGTGCAAGACGTGAGCGTAGTATCCCAGCGTGCAGCCGCTGCTGTAGGCCAGCCACCATGCGGGCCTGTGCCAAGCATCTGTGCAGGGTGCCTCCTCAGAGCGAGGCTCGCATCCAGCACCCTGTCTAACAGATATGTGCATTTCAAATGAATTATCAGCCAACCCTGGCACTGATAGCACCAGCCCCTTGAGGCGTCTTTTCAGCCTGCATGGTGTCCGAACAAATGATCCTCTGTACAATTTCCTGCAAGCAACAAAGAGGGGGAAATGAGGAGCCAAAAGTAGGGAGAAAAGAAAGAGCATCTCACACACACACACACACACACACACACACACACACACACACACACACACACACACACACACACACACACACACACACACACACACAAAACAACAAAAGATTGATTACAGCACCTTCAAGCATTTGTTTATCTCCAATGCCTGGTGGCAGACATGGAGAAAACAACAAAAAGTTGTGGGACATAAAAGCAGCAGAAGTTAGGCATGAATGTCTGTGAGGCTTCTTCTAAGAGTTCTAATCTTTTGACAAAGAGGCCTACAATAAGAGACGATGAACAGCAGAGTGTAGGAAACATGAGACATGAGCGGGACCAGGTTTGAGTTTGCAGTCGGCAGGTGGTCCAAGACTATGCTGGGGTGATGATGAAACGTGATGTAAAAATCATTCGAAATGAAGGCAGGCTCACATTCCTCAAAGCCTAAATGTTGGTGAAATTCATGGGGGGGCCTCACACCTCCTCCTGTGCCACATGTTTTTCAGAGCAGGGGGAGGAGCAAGGAGCTGTACAGTGTGTATCAGCAGGGGTTGACAGTACAAGCATCCATTAAAAAGACGCACGTGATGAAGAGTATACACTGTGTGTGCGTGTGTGTGTGTGTGTGTGTGTGTGTGTGTGTGTGTGTGTGTGTGTGTGTGTGTGTACCTCTTTGAGCTCCTTGGCCACATCCTTGAGGTCACCCAGGATGGTCTCCAAATTGTCCACGATGGTCTTGATCTCCCTCTTCACTTGCACTTTGGACACTGCTCCTTCTGCGCCGTCGGCTGTCCCGGACATACTTGACACTTTACGGCCGGCCTATTTCCACCAGCATGCCCACCAGTGAAATCGTCTTCACGCCGCGCCGAGGACACTTTTTGGCCATGTCCACCCTCCCGTGTTGTTTTCTCTCACTCGCGCGACTACATCGCAGGCAGCCCGGGCAGGACGGCTGTGGCTGCCAGGCGGCGAGCTAACGCCGTCCTCCCCTGCGCATGCGCACTGGCGTGTGACCGCAAACGCTTAGGTGTAAATATTGTGTCGTGTCTACGAGAATGTCGACTTTAAATTTTTTTGGTGTTGTTCCGTTTTGCTTACATGACTAGTAAAAGCAAACCACACATCCACGCAGAGCCTTTCAAAAGAAAGCGCGTCAAATTTAACATATTGTGAATAAGACGATAGTGTTCGTTAAAAATAATAATGAACAAAAACACTCTGAAAAAGGAGATGATGAAGAAAAGCAGACACAGCGCAGGAAGTTGGCCGCATAAATGAAGCAATCTCGTTTGTTCTAATTCTCCACAACTGTCGACTATTTTCCTTATCATAACACTCCCCTCTTTCACATTTGTCGTTGGTAAAAATGTCCCCGGAAAGAAAGCCGGCGCCTGTTAAGGGCACTCCAGCCACGGTTCGGCGAGCCAGCCCGCTCCGTGTCATCGTGTCTCCATCACGGCTTCCTTGGAGAGTGTGGACTGTCAAGCACCGGGGAGAGGAAGACGCTTTCTCGCTCCTCTTCCTCCTCCCTCCTCACTCGCTCCCTTCTTTCTACCTCCTGCCCCTCGCTTACTCGCTTACTGTTGTTGCCACTAACTGTTTCATTTTGTCGTTGAAGCGTGTTTGACAAACGTGACGATCCATCTACATTGGGTATAAACAAGTCTACACACAATTCTTCAAATACTGTACCAGGTTGTTAAAAATGACACCTAGATGGATAGTTTCAAAACTTTCCCCATTTATCCGACCTATTACACTCACCAGTAAAAAAATAAAAAGGAACGCTTCATTAATTTTACATGTGTGGCTTAATTAGTCATTAATTTGCTTACCTGAGAAAAACGCCTAAGAGCTGAAAATACTCGATTCATACATTTCACTTTTCAACATACGGATGGGCCTTTGTCCATGTTGTGTCCAACAAAACGTGATCTGAAATTTACTGGTGGGCAATATAGATTGGACAACGAGGAAGACCCAAGGAAAAACAATCCCATAATGCATTGCAAAGGTTTGCAAGGGGTCAACCAGAAACAGCAAACAATTTGCACACTGGCATGTTAAATCACAATTTTTACAAAGTCTACTGAGGCAAGTTTTATCAAGCCCTCGTGTGAACAAGGATGGGGAAGCACACGCGTGTGCAGTGAACAATGGGCGCAGGTGACATTAAAAACCAATGTCATGCTGAGTATTTTTAACAAGCCTGAGGTGGGCTGACCTGCGCAGGGGAGGATCTGTGCTTCCCCTGAGACTCAACCCTTCGCGACCCCCAGGAGGCGACGGCTTGTGTGTCCCATTAGGTCCATAATGTGAACGGAGCTGCGCTTTGAAGTTGCGGAGACCCTGGACCATAGCAGTACTCTGTTCATCTTAAGGCAGGAGGACATACAGTATGAATTCCAACATTGTCCATGCATGTTTAACTGGCAAATGTCATGTCCACTCCACTTCCTGGTCCCGTTCTATTCTCCATAGTGTATTTTGCACCATTGAAAGACCACCCGCCTCTGCATCGTTCAAAAGCGGAATCATAAACAATTCCAAATATCAGTCGATGTTGGCACAAATACATCATCAATAAGTTGTTCTTATTGCAATTTGACTTTTTAACTGTTGTGGCATTTAAGGAGGAACATTGCAGTAATGCTAAGTCGACGTTCGTATGACGTGGTCCTTGGGGGGGGGGGGGGGGGGGTAGGAGCCGCCCCGGTCTT